CTAAGTCGTGGAAAAGCAGTCACAGATTGTATCTCAGCAATCAGACTTCTGAATGATGTTCGAAGTGCTGAATGAATGACGGAAGAAAAACACTCAGATTTGCAGAAGAAATGCACAGCAGGGGAATAAAAGAAGCGTTACTCTCTCATGAAGTGTCTTAAGAATGCTTTATAAATAGTTGTTAAGTCACTTATTGCTATACAGTAATTATAAAAGAGGTTCATTTAAAGAGCACGATATGCATCTGTAATTTCCATCATTTGGAGATCAGTTTCGTTCAGTTCAGATCGTGAAAAGGAGTTGTGGATGTAAAAAACATTACGTTAAAAAAAACATTAATAAATTGATGCAAAAACCGTTGGAAATTTCGTTTTGTCTGTTAGTAATGGTGAATATGATTTTTTAATTTATTTCATAAAAATACACTATTTAGTTCTCACACATTAGTCATAAACTCATGAATTCTTACGTATGATTGTCATTGCCACTTTTTATAAAGAAAAGTTTGCTTTTTTAGTAGCGGCACATAAAGAGTTTAGGATTCAGACATCCGTTCGTTTAGGATTCAGAATAAAATTGTTTTAAATGTGCATTTCAAAGGAAGACTATGAAGACATGGAACTTTGTAACTCAAAGTTTAAAAATTCTTCCCAAATTGATCAGAGCTAGACTTTGAATACAGTTTCTATCCTTTATAAGACTGCATTGCTTCCAGTACCGCCATTCACATTGTTTTTGGTGGTTTAGATTTAATAATAAAAATTGCCGTAAATAGAAACAGTAAAAAACAAGTATTAATGAGTTTCAAAATTCTTTATTGACGCCACTGATAGTGGATAAACCCATGTTAAGTGTTCAGTGGTGGCTCACATACAGTTCCAGCTGATTTAATTTTCACACAAAAAACCTTGACTAACTAATATATGGACCAAAGTGACCAAAAATGTATTTTGACTGAAATTAACACTTGTTATGAACTTTGGTTTTGAACCAAGGCATTTGCACTAGAGCAACCGAAATCGCTCCTGCTGATTTGGCTTTAAAAATTTAATTAAATTGCTGAAAATGAGTTATTCCACAGAAAAATGTTAGCATATTTATTTGTAGGAAACTGTTTAAAAGCTCAGCAAAAATGGACATTCCAGAGAACAACGATTTAGACGTAGTTTCGCAAATCGGCAGAAAATTGGTTGGGGTTATATTCATATTTCCTTCAAAACTGTGTGTGATCGAACTGCAAAGTTATCAAAATATAAACATTTTGATTTGATTCTCTATAGCTAAAGAACAGCTATAGAGATGTGATTTTCAAACATTTATTTTACAAAATTTTTCAAAAAATATGGTTATTCTCGACCATAAAGTATGCACACTTTGGATTGAGAACAATGGCGCGGAAGTCTAAATGCCAAATGGCTGGAATCAGAAACTTTTACAGTTAAGGCCGAATTATTAGCTCGATTCTGATCATTCTGTCCTAAGGAACATTTATTTTCTCTTGCGGACCGACGACATTCCGAACATTCGAAATTTGAACGAAGACTATTCTGCGGCACAATCAACCAAAAACATTAACAATTTCACGAAAACCTTGGTAAATAACAACTTTAGAAAAACCCTGTAGAAATAAAGATGATGGGAAAACAAGTTCTTTTTGCACATTATTCGACAAAAGACCTCTGACTGAAGTATTAAAAGAAATTGAAAAATAAATATTAGCTTATGTTTCTTATGCTAATGAAAAATCCTAATTAAAAATGTTTGCAAGCACTTTAAAGACTTCACTCTTACAGACTGCCGAAATCAAAGAAAGTTTAAACATTTTTCAAATAACGGCTATATTGAATAAGTGCTGTACAATAAACTAAAAACTTCAAAAAAAATGCTAAAGAACCACTTTAAAAAACTAAACGTGCAAAAAACTTTGTAAGTAGAAGTTGGAGAATCATCAGGAGAACCTTTCTGACTGATGAAGAAATTATAATTTATGTGTCTTATACGAATGAGAAAACCCCATTTGGAAATTCGTGTGTGCAAACATTTAAAAATTTTAACTCCTACGGATTTACCGAAATGAAACAAAGCTTTTAAAATCTTCCAAGTATCGGCTATAAATAAAAAAGTAGTGCGCAATCAACGAAAAAATAATAATAATTTGAAAAAAATCTTGCTAAAAAAGATATTTAGACAAAACTTATTTGCACCTTAATTAATGAACATGAAAAAAAAACGCATAAAAACGAGACAAATACGAATTAATTTATTAATTAAAACTTTGTGCCTCTAATGTCCTTGTTTGGAAACTTGAGTGTCTCAAACCCAGTACAGAGTACAGACCTGGCGAATCAACAGTGACCGGTTCTCAAAGCCAAAGTGTTAAAAGATCATTATAAAACTGATTATTTTTCTAAAGTAAATAGGTTTAGTACCAGTCGCTTGCGTCTATGTTGTGTGTATCTGTGTCTCGTTAAGCATGATTTTATTTATATTGTTAAGGGGCATTGAATTTGTGCACATTGATTTTTCCGGGTTATAAACTGAGATTTATTGGGCACTCCGGCCATTTTGATCTATTTAAAGTTAACAAGCCATTATTGGCTCGAAAAATCCGTTGGCTTTTGTACCGTGTTTCGGCCTCAATTGGGATATAAAAGCTCGCAATCGGGATGCTGCACTGGAATTGGCAAGAGAAAACATGTAACTAGTAGATGTAACGACTGATGAAAAAAACATTGAAAAACTGACAAATTAATTACGACTTTTTTAATAAGTAAACTAACAAAAACGGTCCAAAAGTTTGTTAAATAAAAATTTGGATTCGAATAACTTGATTTGGTGGGAAGTTAAAGTGATAAAAAGTCCTTAAGTTTGGGATTATAAGAGAATTATAATCCTGTGCTCTTACTTGTTTTGCTACTTACCAGGATACTACTTTCATGTTTAAACTTATTATTTAAAGATGTATTTATATCGTAGTCCTATACGCTCATACATTAGTATGTTATTCATTGTAAGAAAACTGTAATTTTTTATAATTAACATGCGGGTCTTCAGAATGTGCCTCCGTTTGTAAATGCATTTATTTATGTTTACCTAGTTTTTGGATTGACAATATTATTTCGGTATATTGTGATGTGTTTAGAGCCTTTTGACTAATTGAATTATATGCATTACCTGCATAATAAAGATTGGGTAACGGTTTTAAGAACTGTTAAAACTCCACTGACACTCAATAATTAGATAAGAGAAACATCAAGTACATAACATAGGTTTACAGGTACATTTATAAGTTGTTAAGCTGATTTGGCTCTACAAAACGTGTTTCTTCTGTTTTTAATAAAATCTTCATTTCAATATATTGCAAAAATTTTGCACCAGTTCCTATGCAGTTAAGTTCAAATTTAAAGTACATGTGTAATAAAAAACTCCAGTGTTTAAATCACATATACTTTAATGAGCTGATAATGAGCTGAAAGCAAAACAAGCCGACAGTGGATGTAGCGTAAAGTAGAGGTTTCCACGTAGGTTGCAAGAACGTTCAATTTTCCAGCTGAAATGCTCATTAGTGGGAAAAACAAAGCTGTTAGCTTAAAGCCATGACTTCTATCTCCCCATATGTTCCTAAACGATATTGTCTGCTTTTGGGCTACGTTTTGAAAATTACTATGACGGTTTGAGGCAATGTGCTCATTACATAAAGGGGATTTTTTTCCGAATGGTCTTTCGCGGTCTACTTATGTAAGCAATAACATCGATATTTCGGGAATATCGAGGAAATTTTTCATTTTACTCAAAAAAAACAGGAATGTTTAGGGTTTTTTTTAAATGGAGGCTACATTTTATTTCCCTAATTTATTTATTTTAGGATCTTTCGCATAAAACAGATTTTGTTCTTCTAATAGTTTGCGATAATTATAACATTTTTTGAACACTTAAACTTTTGATTTGAATTTTATAGAATTATTTAATAGTTCAAAAAAACAGGTTGAGTCTTCTTTACTTACTACTAAAGCGGAGACTTCATTTGAAAAAAATCCTTATTAACATTCGAAAGTGCGCTTTCCAATTATAGTTAGTTTAATGAGTACAAAAATGTTTAAAAAAAGGAAAGTTTGATGGAAAAAATCCCTTGTGCCACTGCCTTTGAAAAACGAAAACCTCAAGCGTAATAAAGTTTTTACTTTTTTTCTCACCAAACACTCAGAAATTCAACTAAATTGGAACGGATCTTCTTCAAAGCCATACTTGAATGGACAACATTAATTAGGTATTTACGATTCCTATTAAATTTTGCTTAAAGCTTTAAACTGAATAGTTTTTGGAATACATGAAGAAATATAAATAATTTTAATTTTCTTAATCCTTTTAAACCTTTTAAAGCATTCAAGCGGAAAATTTTCCTTCCCATTTCACTATTGGGTCCAATTTATCATAAGCCTTGGATAACGAGCTCAAGCCTACTTTTTCTCCATTTACTACTTGAAAATGGGATTAAATTGAGAAGTCATACGTTTGCGACTTAATAAAGACACGGTTCTTTTAATAGAACTGCAGATTTATTTCAGTCTTTGAAGCTTGGAGAACAAACGAACTGAATAGCTATTGTTCCCAAAGTGTTTTAAAATACTTTTTTTACTACTTTGCAATAGTTCTGCTAGGGATTTTTGCCAGTTCAATCTAAGCTTTTGAGATATTTAAAAATCGACTCATTCGAAATGTAATTGGCAAGAAATATTCAAAAACGTATTAGTTCGCGCTGATTACTAACACGTTATTTATATGCTTTTCTTGTGGGTTATTCTTGGGAAGATGATTACTCAAAAACGTTTTTTCATCTCAAACTACACCTGAAAAAAATTTGCGACTACCTACCTAAATTCCTGCAAATTACCAGCAATTTTCAGTAAACGACTTGGCATTTAAATGACTAGAATACCTACTTAAGACGTGGCCGCTCAAGGAAAACTGCAATATTAATGGGCAATACAAATGCAAGTTACCTAAACAGTTCAATTTTCCCAGAAAAAATCGTCGACATCCACAGTATATCAGTTTTCTTAAAACTGCAGTTTCAAACACGTCAACGTGTTTAAATCTTAAGCAAAACTAGAACAAAAACAAACAAAACTGGTGCAGATGGGCAAAAACCAACACTAACTCATGTTCACTAAAGCATAGCTATTCACGTAAATCAAGTTCGAAGCAAAATAAAATCGAGCGGACTGCCATTGTTCTAAAAAAACCCGCTAAAAAATTGAAGTCAACTCCTAAAAGAAATCCGCGATCTCGCCCGGAAAAACGCAGCTTCAAACCGCTATCGAAACGTACTTCGCTGCGGTTTCGGACGCTTTGCGCTTTAAAGCTCTGTATCAGACACCATGCCGTTTGGCCTCCTCCAAAGCCCCTCAGAACAGGCGCATCGCACTCTGTTTATTGTTGCATACGGGCTTTCCATAATGCCCAAAGGGGCTCTTAAATCATTAGCATTTGTTCACATTTAACTATCGGAAATTGGAAAAGGTTTGCAAATGATACCAGTAGGTAACAAAGAACACCTGCAAAGCTTTGTTTCATGTTTTATTTAAAACCGGAAAACTTTTCAAACGCTTCAGTCCAGCCGATATGTGATGCGAATTTTCATTAGTCTCACTTTGTCATGAAGAAAATGCTGATTAAATTCCGGACTTTTGAACTGTGAGCCTGGAAAAATGTAGACAAAAAACAGAAGGAAAGTGCGTTCTAAAGCTCCAAAGCAGAATTGAGGAAAACACGTTGCTCGCAAGAACTTTTATAATGAATAGATCAACTTTTATAATAAAAGAGTGAAATATCTAAAAATAAAATAAAACAAAATTACAAGAACTTTTACTTTACTTTACTAAAGAAAAATATAAAATTTCTGACCTCAGTAAATTACTTTAAAAAATTTGCAATGTTGAATTAACGTTTGGCTTTATGAGTAGGAGGAAAAGTGAAAATTTTAAAAACAACAAAAAACCTATTTTTGTTAAGTGTCGAAAAAAACAAGCAATAAAATGGAATAACAGCAGTAAAATAAACGACATTATTTTAACTTAATTCCTGCACTTCAGCAAGGAGTGTCTACATACTCTGAGTGGTTTTGTTGCCTTTCTCGAAATCGAGTTAAAACCCCATGAATGAATTATGGATATTCCCTCCACTGTTAATATTTTTGAATAATGAAAAAAATGTCCTTCTGGCGTGATGAATTGATTTCATCTGTTGTTCAATTTCAGTTCAGTCAAGATTGGTGTCAATTTTTACATTTTACGTGTAAATCCCTGCTAGTCGCATATCACAATAACTCTCTAATGAAAGCCACGAAACTAAGGGCACATATTTTGCATACCGGTAGCAAACAGCACTCTGCCGATTTGTATTGTGTTCCCTTGAATGGGTCCTCGAGTTCTTCAGCAGGGCCGCATGAATATCCTGCGTCAGGTCCTCGAAAAAAACCTTTTCCAAGTGAACATTTTTAATTCGCACCCCTGCCTAAAGAGGGTAATACGGGGGAGACCGGTGTGGCTTATTTTCAGTGATTTTTCTGCTGCAATGGGACAATTGCCAACTTGGATGAATGGTGGTGCATTTGCGATAAATAGCAGATGAAAAAGAAATGATGGAGGTAACTTGAACTAATGGGGCACTGGGAGTGTTCAACAACGTGCAGATTTCCGTTGGTTGAAAGGATTTAAAGGAAAATTCGAAATGTTTTAGCGAGAAAACTTGTTTTGTGTGATTTGCAGCTGTAAGATGTTCAGCAAAAGAAGAGCAAAGTTTTGGTGGCACCGAAAATAACTTCAACAATGGAATAATAAGTTAAATTATGATTTATATTGAAAATTATGGACAAATATGTGAGTCTTCAATATTGAAAATGTGGCACTTAAATGCCTCTTGAGAGAAAATCTAATTTTAAAAGCCAAAAATACAATGAAAAAGCTGTTCGTGCTTTACACAGTCATCAAATTGATTACTCAGCAAGCGGAAAATATCCGTTTTTTTATTGATAAATAAGATTTACTCCAAAATATCAAATAGTTATATTTACGTTGTTCCTTTTTTTCATCACGTTCTTTTGCTCAAAGCAATAGTTCTGATATTTGCAAAGATCTTGACATCTTAAAAACTTTGGGAGATTTTTATGGGCAAATACTATTATGGATCCACAAACTTCATATTCGTTATTGGGCAGCTTCTTAGCTCGAAAATAATCCATTGAGGGTAAAAAATACGGTTGCGAAATTTTGATTTTTAGTCGCAAATTTCATGGGGAGACAAAGAGATCGATTATTGAACAAAAATCAAGTTTCTCAAAATACCACGAACATCATTTTCATCGGAAAGAGACAAGGAATGCAACGAGCTAAGTAAAAGACACCAGGGCCGTTCCAGTTCCCAAATAATCAACATTTTCTGTATATTTTGAAGGGTTTTTGAGCGGTCGCAATCTTAAAATGACGATATCTTTCTTATTATGAACCCACAAAATTCATATTCGTTATTGGGCAGCAGCTTTTTAGGTCGGAAATAATCCAATAAGGGCAAAAAACACGGAATTTTGATTTTTGGTCGAAAATTTCAAAGGGGGAGCAAGAGATCGATTTTTGTAAAAAATTCAAGTTTCTCAAAATACCTCGAATTCTACATCATTTTCATCGGAAAGAGGCAAGGAATGCAACGAGCTAAGTAAAAGACACCGGGGCCTTTCCAGTTCCCAAATAATCAACATTTTCTGTCTATTTTTTTATTATCATGCAAATATTACCGAAAATTATACTTAATACAAGCCTCTCCACAGGAATGGTTTACATGCATTACTTTGCCAACCGTTGGAAACCACGACTCCGCTTCTTTCCCGTTTATTTCTAATAGAAGAAATAATACTTTTTAAATTAAAGCTATTTAATCTGGTAGTCAGACAGTTGAAAAAACGAACAAAACCGCAAAGTAATTAGAATTAAGTATTTATGGTAATCACCGAGGAATCGCGTAAAAGTCCACTTTGTATGCAAAACGGCGTTATTTTTCTGCATTGTTTTCGTGTTGCATTCTGCATCTGTTAATGGTGCAATAATGGCAGGCGAATGGCACCATAACCAGGAACTAACTTTCAAGTCCATATAAAAATCATGTTGAAATATTTTCGAGCTAACAGTCCAATCCCATCCCATTCCATCCCATCCCGATTATTTTTTCAACGATAGAAAGGCCTAACGACTGTCATCGCCCGAGCTTAATTCGAAGGAAACATGACATAATAGGTATAATAAAGCAAGAGATTCCAACATGGCATTAAGCCGTATAGACCATCAAATTATGGGTACGAACCCATTATTATTAGACACAATGTTTTACATAATCTGAGCTCGTGGTCTCTCAGCCGTGGTGGTGGGCAGGCAAGATGGTATGAATAGAGTGTTGTTAAGATAATAAAATATTCGTTTTTTTATTATTGCTGTTGAAAGCGGCTGCTAGTTTGAGTTTTTTTCTTTTTCTGGTAGTTCTAGTTTCAACTAACACGACAGAAATTCACTTAAAACTTGATTTTTTTCAATCATTTTTTGACACAGTTTTTCAGCCATTATTCAGATTATCCATACTCATTATTGTTAATGAGTAAATTGATAAGTCACAGAAAATTCATAATTTATTTGAATGCTTCAAAGCCAAAAAAACGGTGTGAAATTTTAAGATTTTCAAAATCAAATATAAAATTTTAAAATATAGAAAGAGAGCAGAGAAGCAGAAATACATACAATTTAACTGCAACGAATTCCGCTTTAATTGAATGATTGCGGATAACAAACTGAATTAATCAGTGAAACTAAATCTTTAAATTAGTATGACTCGACACCAGTGCTTTTTTGCGAGTTTTACCAAGAGTATCTTAATTTTAAAAGTGCTAACTGTGATATGAAATAAAAGGGAAAGTTTTAAACCCAAGGCATATCTAGAGTAAATTCTGAAGAATTTCCTATGTCCCCTTTCTCGGGTTATACTAAAGTGGACATAATCGATTATTTGAGGAAAAATGTTAAAAACCAATTTGAAAGCCCTAGTTTTGACACACATTGTACTAAAAAGCCTCTTTATATGGAGAAGAGAAACTTTTGCAGTGAGTTTTTCGGGATTTCAAATCGTTGTGGATTTTTTTCCGGCAAGCCGCTAGTTTTTCTTCTCCGAGAAAATTTCTTTCACGACGGCCTAAAATCCCGAAGAACTGGTCAGTTTATGTTTCTTTATAATTTGCTTTTCACTTGCATAATATCTGTTTTAATGTGAACACCTTCAGAATTACTATAAAAACTATTATTAGACTATTATGAAAAATAAAACATTTCTAAACTGCATGTTCATGCAGGAATTGCGGAATATTTAAATAAAAATAATATATATACAGGGTGATTCAAAATTGGCGTCATTCCTTTAAGGGGTAATAGGGGCTCACTTGGAAGGTACGAGAAAAATACTGAAATTTTTTTCAGCAGAAGCTGAAAGAACTCACGCCAAAAAAGGGTGATGAGAGCACAATAACTAACACTTTCCCAGGCACCAAATAAATACCGGCTGTATTTCTACCACGTATGTAAGACCACATGAAACCAATGGATTACTAAACACCGGTATAAATTGAGCAGGAGTTAATTAACCGAATACGAAAAGCTGCTCGAGAAGAGTGTAAAATAAGGTTGTAATAAACACAAGCACTTGTTTGGAGTTACAGACTCAAATGTATGTTTTTGTAATTTGCAAACAAATTAATAATTCGAGGTTATGAGTCTCGAAATAGGTTCCGTCAATCAACGATTTCTGTTGAATTTACCGTTTATCCTTGTCTATCTTATTGCCACTTTCTCTATTTCTCCATGGTTACCGGAGTTTTAAATAATAACGAAGCAACAGGTATTTACGTAATGTTAATGAGGCAGATTAACTTGAAAAACATTGTTGCCGTTTCTCTAATAAAGATTCTCAGTTTTTAATAACAATTAATTGTTTTTACTATTTTTTCTGTACTCCTAAAACACCGCCAGACAACACCTCCAGAGGAATGACGCCAATTTTGAATCACCCTGTATATTAAAGTAAAACCGCCTTTGTTTCCAGAATATTATTGGAATATCGATTGCTCAAATTCACCCATACTGAATAATATTTAACAAGTTTATTCAAGGCAATCTATTTTCATGCAACTATTATCAATTTGAAGCACCGGCCAATTTATTGCACTGAAATGCCATAGAGCAAATAATAAAATAATATGCATTTGAGGATTAGGCCTAATACGGGGCTCTAAAGAATGAAAATTCTATTAATCTCATTAAGTGAATTAATAGTCATTCACAGTTAAATTGCACGAATAGACGCAAAATTCACAATAATTATTTGTTTGCATATGCAGGGTGATTTACGTAGACCGTGCATTAGAAATTTTCCAACTTGCAGTTGTTTTAGAAACTTCAAATTTTGATTTTAGATACCTACTTATTATGGATAAGCTGCAAGAAATTTAAATAACGCAAAAGAAGCATTATTTTGATATTTCAATGCCAATTCACACCATAAAACCTGATTTTATTTGTTGTATCTGTTAAGTGATTAACGCTTCCGATTCAAACGGGCAATTATYCCCACCAAATCCATTACAAAACTTGCAGAAAGTCGACAATACAAATTTATTTAAATTTAAACGCAAACTATCTGRAAAAAAAACATATTGAATTGTGGGTTAATGTCAGAAAAWAGCAAAATACTGGCACTAAAACATCATTATTTGTATATTTAGCCAATATTATTTGAGCAAAATTTGTTTGYAATACGTAGGTGATACAGTTCATTTCAACTGGTTAAATTTGTTAAATCATTTTTAAATCAGTTGCTAAACAAATTRACAAAACTGTCTGCTTTTATCATAAATAATAACTAAATAAATTGTAACRAAATATACGACAACAATTTATCAAGCATTAATTGTTAATTAATCCTGTTCACATTGACACTTAAAACTGATAATTATTCTCACTAAATTCGCAATTCTGTCAATTATTCAAGAACTTTCTAAAGAAAAGTGTATTTCCTTCACGTTTCAAGTGCAAAATTAATACAATTTTGTTTTTGTCGTCGCAAGCATCGTAACTGAAGCAAACGAACTGACGGACTGGAAAGTTCACAATATTTATTAAATAAATTGGCAAATATGTAGTTATATTTCCACAAGGAATTTGCATTTKTGGACTTAAATTCACTYCAAAACATGAAAATAATGTGGATATGGATGCAAGTTTTATTTATATAAAAATGACAATTGTTCCCACTAAACGGATAAATATTCTATTTATTTTGKTGGAAATAATTSAGAATTGATCATCGAATTACTACTGAAATTGCAACAATGACAATTATTTTAATATCAACGCAATTGGTTCCAATTTTAACTGAAAAACCTTGAAGGTATTTCGGGAGAAAGCAAAATATTTAGTTTCTCGAACTTAAAAAGTGATCATTATTTTCAATAAATGAACAAACGGTTCTGCGCTTTTGCACGTAAAGCGAAAATTTATCATTCTTAAAAGTTCATTAATTCATTTTTAAGAGTTAAAGGTTTAAATGTACCAGAATTGGCGATTATTCCCACTAAATCGGCAGTTATTATCTGGCTAATGGCAGAAAAACTTGAAAAGTTATATAGTTCAATTTGATGCTTAATAAAATTTCTAAAAATTTTAACCTGATGACTGTATGAACCTAACTGGGACTTTCCTCTGGAGATTTTGCCTAAAAATGTGCTTTAACAAGGTAAAATTGCGATAGAAACAATTCAAATATTATGCAAATGAGAATAAGCATCAGAAGCTACAATAATCGCCCTGTAACTCTGCCAGTTGACTGTGCATATTTAATGGCCGCCTGTGGTAAATTTGAACTGCAATTTCCGCCTTGAAATTTCCAAATTTGAAGGTAAAAGGATGTATCCTTTAATCAAGGATTAGCTCCACCCAGGATCGATATTACTGGGGAATTACGTGGGATGCTTTATTTGCACAAATGAGATTGATGTGGAACATAGAATAACGTTTAACGGTAAGTTTTTAGCGCGACAAATCCCGCCTAACTTTCCATTAAAATTGAGCAAAAGATGCAAGGTGGACGGGTAGGCACTTATCCGACTATGAGCCTTTGTGAAGCAGGGGAAGAATGAGAGAATCCGAGAATTATGCATATTGCAACCACGAATAGTGGCTAATTAGCCCGTTCTAAAATTGTTGTCTCTGTGCAAAAATGTGTGATGCCACAACCAGGCTCTTCGTGTAATTAAATTTCGAAAGTGCAGAATCTAACTTAATTTGCAAAAAAAGTAATTTTGGTATCTGAAGAGTTGTGGGTTTAGGAATAAGTACACAATTAAATTTTACTACAGCTTGATTAGGATTTCCAGTAAATTAAATTAAAAACACAAAAAAACTGGAGGTCTGGAAACAACTATTCCCGAACTTGCAGGAATAATTAGGGGTGCTTTTGCCATGTACAGGCCGATTCCAAAAATAATCAAATTCAAGGCATCCATTTCAAGTGCGTGTTTATTTGAAAGGTTACAAAAATAACTCTCAAAGTAAATTTATTAAGTCGACGTAAACCGAGTTGGGGTGATTAATTTAGGGGAATCGGGTGCATGTAATACAAGATAATCCTCGAGAGCGCGCGTATAACATGTCACATGTCACCGATTGGTACGGTCTTGTATACTGGCTTTCCAACGGCTTCATTTTAGGACTTTTACAGTTTTGGGTTACAAAAGCACGAATCGTTCGCTTGAACTAATTTTTTTCTGCAGGACATCTACACTTTATACTGTAACTCGCTCTTGATCTTTTGTTACACTTTTTAATCTGTATTGTTCATTTATTTGCGTTGTTATGTCTATTAGTCCTTATTTGAGGATATTCAATGACGATTGCAACGACTTGAAAGTGTGATTCGATTTTCATGTTTTTGCTTCAATTTGCTTTTTTTTATTTTATTTTCCATCTGAACAGTTCTTATTGGTATTGCATTTGTTACTCCTTTTTGGGTTTTGGTTGTGACTGAATCTATCTGTTATTGCTGATTTTTATTACTTTCCAAAAGGGCATTTTATTGGAATATCAAACGATTCCATTCCATTCCACTATTTCCCTAAACTCGAAACTTATTTTATTAGTTATTATAAAACAAAAAAAACATGTTTTTCTTTCCACCAACCTAATGCAGTATAAAGGATGCAAACATGAATAACTTCTAAAGTCACAAATCAGTTTAATTGCAAGCAAATTAAAATTGGCATTAAAAACGCAATGATAACGGGAAGTTATAAGGAGGGTATAAATTGCCTCATAGAAATCACTTAAAGTAATTAAAACTCAAGCAGTTCAAACAAATAAAGATAGTAATTATAATATATTAGAATGTGTAAGTTTAACATTTCTTAATAATGTATGATAATTTTACAAAGTTTATGAACTGTACAGCTATAACTTTCTTAATACTGGGCTTCTTTCAAGAACAACCTATAATAAAATCAATGAAGATCGGTGTGGGAAAACTAGAATATTTATTTTTATTATTCTCTATATAGTGCGCGTATAATCAAATAAATGTTGATTCATAGAACGCAACATGTGTTGTACAGCACAAGAGAGAATGTCGATATCATGAAAAATCGTATTAACTATTTACCAGATCCGAAACTTTAACTTTTTTAGAATCTTGAGTTTTTCCGTCAAAATAGGCGATGAAAAATTGAACAAATTTATTCTTAAAAAGCTAATTAGTTGTAGATCTATATATGCGAATGTAAGAAAGAGAAAAATAAATATTAATAAAGGGCTTTCCGGAATCACGAATCTTGATTAACCAGCCTGGAAAAATGGCTCTGAGGGTCGTTTAATAGGTTTTCCGGACTATCAAATTCGATCATTTCGCCCTCCTGCATCACCAGCACCCTGTCTGAGTCCATAATTGTTTGGATTCTGTGTGCAATCGTTATCACAGTACTTTTTCTGAAGGCTGAGCGTAAAGTCAGCTGGATTTGACGATCAGTGTCTTGGTCCACGTTTGCAGTCGCTTCATCGATGCACAAAATCTGCAATAAATAATTCTTTCTCACCGTTTATACAAGGCCAATCCTGAAAATATTGCTGAAAATATTTATTGGGTCAATCGGGAAGGAGCCCAATTTACAAGGTGCTTCAGAACGATGGGATAAAACTTTAAATAGAAAAACCCATGATTGGAAATGTCACCCTAAAGCGCTATACTCTTGTGATACTTCAAGAGCGTTTTGTACAAAGTCATGTTTAATTGTGATTTAAATTACTATAAAATAACCGACTGCAAGGCGATTATGCAAGAATTAACAAACTTATAACTAATTAATTAAACAAAGCCTGATCAGAACTTTCAAGTTGGGTGATTTTCAAGAATTCGTCACGCCCAAACTTGAGCGACCAGACAGTTGAAACTTTGTCCAGTTCTACTCACGGTGGAGCGCTACAAACGTCTGAAATTTCGATCTAAACCGCCTGCAGAATGATTTTTGAGAAATCGGCAAACCTACAGTTGCGCCTAACCAGAACTTTCAAGTTGAGCCACTTTAAGAAAATCTTCACGTTCGATCTAGAGTAACTAGACGCGAAATTTTGTCCAGTTCTGCCCAGTCAGTCTCTAGAAATGGAGCAAATTTCGATATAAACGCGCACTGCAGAGTGCAGGTAGATTTTCCAGCAAAAACAAACTTTCAGTTGAGCGTGCCGAAAATGTCCATGCTGAGTTACTTTCAAATATTTTTTAAGTCCAATCTGGAGCACACAGAAGATTTGTAGGCACGTTTCTCAAACACCCCTAATTCTCCGAGACTGCTAAGTAGAAGTACTATCGGAGGGTAGACTGATTTTTTTTTAATTCCCAAACTTTCAGTTGAGGGGGGGCAAAGCTTGAGAGTAAACACACATTGAAAAATGCCTCATTCCTAAAAAAGAGCCACTAAACGCTTTATTTAACGGCAATTACTATAAAAACCGAGTAACTCAAACTGAGTAACTTTAAGCAAAGCGCAGTTTAAACTGGTTTTTCAGAAAATACGAAGACAATAAGGTTTTCTACTCAAATATTACCTATTCATGTTCTGAACATTCCCTAGAAATTTGTGCCCATAGTAACACCCTGTATAAATCGCAACAGATCTGTGCCATTTTGCGCCTCAAATAAGGACGGTATGATTTAACTTTAACTAGGAAGAAATCTCTGACTCCTTTGCTAATAATGATCAAAGTTCTGAGATCAAGATTCTGGAAGCATCCGCGTCCATCCGCTTTGAAAATTTGTAAATTTACACTGTTTTCATTTGGTCACTGAGCCATCTAATGATTGTTTAAAGGCCGAAAGATGGAATAAATAAACCGCCTTGAATATTTTAATTATGGCTGAAAACCAATAACTTTAAATTGAGTGAAAAAAAAAGAAACCTAAAATAAAAAACCAATAGCTTTCCTTGAAAAAAGCAGCTTTAGATCAATTAAGCAGTTCGAACATCAGCAAATCAAAGCAGAACTTTTTATCACATTAAATTACACAAACTTAAGTGAGAATTATAAAAATGTTTAAAATCATTAGAAAACGTTACGAATAATAATTAAAGAAAATTTCAAGTATTAGGAAGCGCACAAAGTGACACAATTCTTTCCCGGTTGGTGTCTCGGCTTAAATAATTTTATAGTCAAATTAAATGAAAAATTTTATTACATTTCAGTTACATTTCAAACCGATCTCAATTAATATAGTATGTAACACCGAGATATAAAACCCATTAGTTTTTACTTTAAGTTGGAATAATTGATGATAATGATAATTGATGATCTTTCATGCTGGATTTTTGATCAATTAAATTAGCTTTTACTTTGCAAAACATTCTTCGAGTCTTTGCTCAAATTTTAGCCAACAGCAACCCTTTCAACAGTCTTTATTCGAGAATTAAAATTTGGAACTCGCCTCATACGGTGGTAGGCCTGGGTAACACTGTGTTGAGCTGCGCTATTGAGTTGTTGCCGCTCTTTGTGTTAACGAGTTATAACTCATCGATTAATGAGTTGTAATCTATTTGATAAAGCTTTACGAGACCCGAGACTGGGATTTTCACATCTAAAAAAAGGTTATTGACATTTTTTCTGAGTAACTTTTACTACTTTGTTCAAACAACTAAAAAAAAGTAATCGAGATTTTCCCAGCAACAGAACTGAGTCCAAAGAAAGTCGACGAGTTTTCTTGTTAAATCGATCTCTTAATTTTTTTGTCTAAAATATTTAGTTTTCCAGTATTTTACAGTAAAACGTTAGAGAAAACGCAGTTTTTCTGTTTAGAGACAGTGTTGTTTAGAAATATTGACCTAAACGTGAAGAAACTCCAATTTCCATGTTTTTTTCCCTATAAATAATTATTAGGGTCTTGTCCATAACATTCCATAACTGGAATGACCTGAAAATTTAAAGGAACTTTAGAAATCCTCAGAGTGATGGGGGTGGCGAATTTTTCCAATATTTTTTTGTAAACTTTTGCTATCTGGTCGTTTTTTTAAGATAGTCGATAGTCGTTTTCGATTAAAAACTGTTAGTTTTGTGATCGGTTTTAGAGAAAAACTTGATGGTTTTCGGGAATAAACAGTTTCAAAACTAAAAAACCACATTTTTTAACCAATTCTACAGTTTTCAGAAAAATGGAGGTGACGAGATTTCCAAATAATCTGTTATAAACTTTTGCTTATTCTGTTCCTTTTTTGATGAAAAATTATTTGATTTTTGTTCCAAATTCGACGCTGGAAAACGATTTCTAAACTTTTTACGAGGCGACAAAGGATTCGAAATTTATTTCATAATTTATCGCGGAAAATACCTTAAGATTGTCAGCATTTTTAAGTGAGACTTTAGACAATTGAGCATTTGGAAGAAAGAGTAACTTGGCTAAAACTGGAAAATTCTGAAATTTGAAGACGTTTTAAAAATATTATTAATAAATAGCCTTTAAAATAAACCTAAAATGTAAAAAAGTCATCAATATTTTCCCAGCAACCGAACTGAGTTACTGCGCCGGTGCGTTGGATTGGCGCACCAAACCATTTGCGCAGCACTGCGCCAACTCCTAAAAATTCGCTGAGTTACCCAGGCCTATAATATGGTTTTCTCTATTATTGTTAAATAAAACGAAAAAGAAAAGAAATGCAAAACAATGCACCAGAAATAAATTCGCACAAACCGTGATTGTATTAAAAATAAGTCTCTATATATGGTTGGTTTTGAACAGTACGTTACTCCATTTATAAATTTCCGAGTAAATTTCGTGGCTCACTAATAAATTGAAATCAGTGCTAAAACCTTTGTATGCTTTTTACCTAGTTTGGGATGACAGGAAAATCCTGTTTGATGACAGGAATCTCCTACACATTATTACTTGAAAATGTACTTAGCTAAATAAATTTTGTAATAAATCAACACAATAATATTAAGGAAATGTGCTCATCATTCTTGAACAGCAAATTCCTTCAATTTCCTTAAGAAAATGGGTGATAATGATGAATTATCAAGTAGCTTTTGTATCTACAAATCTTTCAAATAAGTCACTGGTTAATGATCCCTTTTCGAACTTACCATTCTCCTAGTCCATGGGTCAGTCAAAAATTAGGTAAAAATCTTTGAAACTTACCTTGGGATTATGCAATACTGCTCTAGCCAAGCACACCAGCTGTCTTTGCCCAACCGAAAAGTTAGAGCCGCCTCCCTCCACGACATTGTTCAATCCACCCAGACTTTTGATTGTGCCTTCCAAATTGACTTTGGATAGAGCGCTCCAAATCTCGTTATCGCGAAACTCGCCCAACGGATCCAGATTCTCTCGCATCGTGCCGCTAAACAAAAATGGATCCTGCGGGATGCAGTAAAGGCGAGATCTGAAACCCCCAACACTTTCACTTGTTGCCTGGAAATTAGCCGAAGGCTCACCTTAAAGTCGGTAATGATATTTTGGATATGTTGACTGAATCGACGCAAATCTCGCCTTTGGATATGTCCACCATCCGAAACAGGCCCAATATGATGGAAGACTTTCCCGATCCGGTTCGTCCAATTATACCGATCTTCTCCGAAGATCTTGTCTCGAAGCTGAGGCCCTTTACCGAAGGCTGCAAATGCTCCCTGCAAACAAACAGTATATCCATTGAATCAGATGTCTGGGGGAACTAGTCTGGGCAGTGGCAAGAAAACAGAAACTGTTTGAAATTACGGAAATTAGCTCTAGCTCGGTAGCTGAATCGTTGCCCGGACTGAATCCCCAAGATAACTTATTCAATAGCTCGTGTACCGGTCAAGAAATTATCTCCCAACCAAGTATATCAATAGATAATAACAACCCCCTTACCTGTATCTTAAATAAACGTTATCAAAGCTAACCACCCCTTGACTAGGCCAGCCGAAGGGAGGTTCCGTCATATAATGAGCAGCCTCTAATGGTATTTCATTAATGTACTGATTGACCCTCTCCACAGCAATCAGCTCCCTTTCAGTTTCAGTGAAAGCGTTAACAACTCCGCTCAGAAGACTGGTCACGGATAGGGCGTAGGATAGAGCAAGCCCAATAAAACCTAAACGAACACAGCTTAAAAGAAAGCGATTCGGGCAAGGAATCGATGAAAATGTACCTGCATTAGCCACAGCATACTGATGCTGAATCACCGCAATAAAACTGACCCCCGCAACAATAGCGACGCCGATAAATTGCAATCGCAGCCCCAGCCATCGGATAGCTACTTGAGAGGCAAATTGCGCTTTAATGTTCGCGTCCACATGCTCCTGATTTTCCCTTTTGAATCGTTGCTTAGCCCTCATGGCATTGATCGTTGCAAGGCCTGCAAAGACGAAGTTTTCAGGACAGCTCAATTAGTCCTCAGCTCCACTATACCTTGTAGAGTTTCATTGAAATGACTGTACACCGGGGAAAGTGAAACGCTAGAAATGCGCTTTAATTCTCGGGATGTTAGTCGATAATAGTTTTGAAGCCAGTGATAAATTGGGATTAGAGGAACCAAAAACAGGCAAATCCATGGAAGACCGTATACGGTTATGCCAATTGAACCTAAAATGCAAATTAAGAGTTTAATAAGTTGACCGGAAAAATTGCTCAGTCTGGCTTCGGCCTAATTATGGAGAACCTGTAATGAAAACAGCTCAAATCTGAATTCAGTGACTGTGCTTGCAACTTACCCGATTTAATTGAATGGTGTATCCATTTTCCACTTACCTAATAATCCGAAAAATTGCGCCAGTAAAATGTTGAGTATAAACGGCAACGAGTCGTCGACTGTGTAAGTGTCGCTGGAAAATCTGTTTAAGATTCTACCCAGGGGGGTGATATCGAAAAATGACGACTTGGCCTATCAAAAATTGAAGGAATATAATACGAGAAAGGCTATTTAATTTTGTATGGTGTTCCTTTTTGTGCAAAGTTATGCAGAAAATAAATCAGTAATAAATGCAAAAGAACTCAAATTCGCGAAATAAGCCCTGAAATATGATTTTTTTAAATACTCCAGATGCGAATTCATACATTGTTTGTGTGGACACACCAGAGTTAATATGCGGTAACTTATTCCATTTTAAAAATAAAGCACAATATGAAGAATACAGGGACGAAACGTGCAAAGTCAGTATTTTGGTCAAATTGAGTGGACCTGGTCGATCGGCAGATTTTGGCTCGCGCGAAAACGTACAACGGTCTGTCGCACATAAAATAGACAAGGTCTCTTCAGGAAAATAAAAGCTGTAAACGAACTGAAAGAACTTCGAGTTGGCATCACACTAATATCACATAACAGAGACAAAGAAGAAAGGAAAAGGCTCTGAAAATTGGGCCTCTAGGATCATTTCTATAGTGGAGTTTGGAAGGAAGAAAGAGCAGCACGAAGAAGAATGGAGCTCTATAAAAATAGGCTGAACCAATAGATACAGCGGACCGGATTTGTTAATTCAGTATAAAGAAATGTGCCTGCACTCAGCCGTCCTAGAAGCAGTAGTTATCCAAGAGAAAAAAAACCATATTGGTGGGATGAAGAAATTCAACACGAGATAAGAAAAACCGAGCATTCGCGTTCAAAGAAAATAAGCGACAAATTAAAATACCAGGACTAGAGGACTAGCAAGCTGTGGGCAAAATGTATCTGTTCGTTTTCTGGACAAGAGCGGTTGCAAGCAAGTTATTTAAGGAACAAAAGACAGGAAACTACGCGATTCAAACCTGGAAGTACAAAAATGAGCTAAAAGCACACATTACCCAAATTTTATTTATATGAAATAAAAAACGTAGATAATGGTTCATAGTAGAGGACAAGTCTACATTTTAATATTTTCCACAACAAAATTTCAAATTTTACTTACCTTGATCACTGACTTTAAGAGGAGCTTGTGAAATCTCGAAGCTGCCACTACACCGCCATAGGCAAACAGGAAAGCTCTTACCAGAGCAAAAACATTATTCACTGCGGCCAATCCAACGTAGAGAGTCAAAAACGAACGTGTTGAATCAGCTGCAACACTTTGGAAAAAATAACGTGTTTTTATTAAAAGAGGATTTTTGTTAGGAGCGCCGCTTACTAGAGACGATGAGCGTCTATAATCGACACATTGGTACTGCCATTGGTATGCCCATTGTTTACCCACTCGGCTAGCCATAAGTCCGTAATATTCCTGGATATCTGTAAAACCAAAGGCAATCACAAAAATGCCACAATTTAACCTCTTCAATGGCTTCACCTGCATTAACACTATAGCGAAGAGAATTGCTACACACAGCAAATGTCCTACAGATTTCCAGTAAGAAGCAAACACTCCAAACTTGAGACTTCCGGCCTCACTCACTTCCATATTCAATACACTGTCTGAATCGGTTTTTTGCAGTTCATTTGGTGACAGACTTGCACTTTCCAACAGTGAACCAGATTGAGATAGGCGAATGCTTTCGCCCAGCTCCAAGTCCAGAGCCATGTTGTCATCAACATCTTGAAGAATCTGGGGTGGTTTGCCTGAAATGCTCTTTCTTGAATAAAGAAGCCCAAATAGCCACCAGATTTAAAACCTAGTTTTTTAATCAATCCGTTTTCTAAAACAGCAATCCGGTCAGCATATACCAAAAACTCCACATGGTGGGTGCACAAAATCCGGGTTTTTTCCTTCAGCAGCCCCAAGATGCAATGTTGAAATATGTGTTTGGCCACATTGCGATCTACAGCCGAAACGATGTCATCCAGCAAGTACACTGATCTAAAAATTCAGATCAGAGTAGTAAAAAACCCAATAATTGAACAGCTAGACTTGTGCGTACTTATCTTGGTAAACAGCTCTGGCTAGAGCCACTCGCGACTTTTGGCCTCCAGAGAGCGTCATTCCACTTTCACCAATTCCGGTCAGTTCTCCATTGGGCAAATTGCTGATATCATCGAGTAATCCACATGCAAAAAGTACTTCTGTGTACCGGCTTTCATCAAAAGCTTTTCCAAACAGAATGTTGTCGCGTAAGGTGCCGCGCTGTAGCCAGGGCTGTTGAGCTACATATCCAAAGCCTGGAATACGCAATTAATTTAAATTAATGTAGCAGCCATTGATCATAATTTTTTGTGTGATTTTCCTGAATGCCAGTTTCCACATGATTTTGGAGAACAAATACAGGGCGACTCATTAAGGATGGGAAATCCAGAAACTGCAAATACTACAATGCACAAGGCTTCAATCAGTCATTTCTAGATAAATGAAGTATTCTTGTTTGATATCGATATTTCGACCCGTTCTTAAGATAAATGGATTCAGCGAACGCTAGGTTTTAATAGCACGCAAAACTAAAACTGTAAAAAATCACGCATTTTAAATACCAAAACATGTAAAATTCATAATTACTTAAAGTAATTGTTCAAAGTGACCACCATTGACACTGATACACTTTACACAGCGTTTTGTGAGGAGATACTTTTGAGTTTGGAACAACATTGGCTCTGATTTCGTTAACAACAACTTGTATTTTTCTAAAGAAAGATCTCTATTGTCCATGTTATTTGAGACCAATTTGAAAAATCCAGAGGATTGAAGTCCGGAACAAACCCAACGTAGTCAGTTGAATTACGTGCTCTCATAGGGTTTGGTAAAACAATATAAAAAAGGATTGCAAAACGAGTAAAAGTTGGAAATCAAACGACTGATACATAAAGTTCCATATTAGCCGATCCAAAAATGGAGCGCACAGAATTCTAATTAGCATTTTTTTTGTTAAAATAAAAAAAAAAACGTTTTAGCCTAGACATCTGGCAATCGAACACAGGATTCACGGACCTGAATCTAGAATAGAATGATTCATGGAAAATAGATATGTGATATCCATACCTGAGTCAATTTGGCTGATTGAAATCTCGCCGGAGTGCATGGAGAGTTCAGCCAGAATAGCAGACAATATCGACGATTTGCCACATCCGACCGGACCCATTATGCCGATAAATTCACCCTGAAAGAACTCGGTTATATCTCCAATTGGATGTTTTCATCCCGTCGTTTTGCATTGGAAATTAAATCGCCTGTTGTACTATGATTCAATGTTTCGATATAAACAGGGTGATCATTTAGTAGGCATTCGAGTTTTCAACTGATGCTTGAAAAATGTGAAACGTCTGAACACTTTTTTCTATAAATTTCGTCAATTGTTTAATATCGATTATCGACCTTGTAAACGTACTTTTTGCATCTGGCCTGTAATAGAATCGAATCTGTAACACTTCATTTGTGTGAAGAAAGTGTTATTTCAAGCCATTATTGCGATTGGCTTGCATGAAGCATTGCTTACAACCACACTTAATCAGTTCAGTGTTCAGTCAAGCTTTCGCGGTAATCACCTTTGAAGATGCAAGAAAATTATGCTGGCGAAACGACGGAAATATTTCTACACTGCGCCGTAAAATTTAAGACATGTTAAATATTCCCTAAATTTTGGCCGTGAATATTTTCTTAGTCAGTGATACGATTTGAATATTTTTGCACCGAATCATAGCTCTATTTTTGGACATAATTAAAGTTATTAA